ATGTTCACAGCTCTAGAACCACTATTAATTTCACTATTGGTCTCCAGAACTTCTGGACATAACTTCCATAAGATGACACTCCTGCCAACAGAGGAATGCGTGAGTGGCTGGTCAGAACTTAGTCACAGGGACACACCGAGCTGCAAAGGAGGCTGGAAACAGTCTTTAGACTGGGAAGAAGGAACTACCTAGTTAAAATTCAGGAAATCAATCACTAAAATAAGTATAGGAGACAAATACACATTTGTAGCATAGCATAATATTATTGAGAGAAAAATGTTTGGAACAAAAGGAAGGTAATCAAGCCTAGAAAAGGGAAATTTCTGACATTTTAATTTGGCAATACCATCCCAGCACTATCAAGAAAGAATAAAAGGTACCCTTTCAGGTTGATGTATTTGTCAGACAGATATCTACAGTAAAGATGAGTTTCAATTTTTCACATCAAAATAACCTCATACTTTAATGCCATTTTCCATTAACTTTTTGTAGTCCCTTGAATAACTAACTCCCTCTGTTTCAATTCCAGGCTTACTTTTCTTGCCCAGAGGGAGAAAATGTACTTACCAAGTCAATGAAAATATCAATTTACCTGATGACTCTATTTTTCAGTATGTAAATGTATTAGCCTCTTGGTTGATTAGGCTTGAGTTTGACAGATTAAAGATTGGACCCTGAACTAAGATAATTTCTTACACACACACACACACACACACACACAAAGTCCATCTATGAGCTTTCTTAACAACCAGCCTTTCCCTGTGAACTCCTTGCATTGCCAGGGGTGATGGTTAACTATTACTACAATACTACTGTAAAGCAAAAGGGATCTAAAACATTTATGGGGTCATCAGGAAAGTCATGAAGCATTTTTGCATAGAAAAATACATCATGACTTTTCCAATGACCTAATATTAATGTTCATAAGTCTGCAGGGCAGCTGGGGTTCTGCTGGCTGATCAAAGCATGGCCAGACAGTTTTGTTCCAGTCTATAGCACTAGGGCAGCCATGACTCTCATGACAAGCCCTATTCATTGACTGAGAAAGCTCTACCCCATATATCATCCTCTTGGGGAGACACATGGGCTGGTAGGATATCTGAAGTGTGATCCTCTCAGAGTGTGGCAGAGGAGCCAAAGAGCAAAAACATGGGCGACCTTTTCTGGTCTAGGCTCAGAAACTTCTGACTCATTCTGTTGATCAAACAAGTCAGTAACATGTTCAAACACAAAGACAAGGTATAGAAAAATATATTCTGCCTCTTTAGTAAGGGGAACTGCAAAGTCATACAGGAAAGGGATACAGAGAGGTGTGTGAAAAACTTGGTTAACCATATATCTTAACAAAGTAGATCTGAACCAAGGTCCATTGTACCAAAGGGAGAACATGGAACGTGCTATGCTTTGAATATGTCCCTGCACCCCCCAGTCCCACAAATTGAGATACTGAAATTTGGTTGTGATGGGATAAAGAAGGTGAAAACTTAATCCAGTTACAGTATTCAAAGGTACTGTCTTTGATTTTTTTTTTTTTTTGGAGAGGTTTTTGCTATAGGGCACGTGTGCTCACCAGAAAGACAGAGACAGAGAGATAGAAAGTGAGAAACCATCCCCCAGGGGGATGGCCACGCCACAATCCCTTCTCCTCCATTCTCCTCTTGGGATCTTGGGTACACACACACATGCGCCCGGCATGAGTTTAAGCTGCTGGGTCCGGGACTTGAACCATGGTCGACTACATGGGAGTCCAGCAACATAGCCATTACACTAACTGCTGGTCCCGAAGGTACTGCCTTTGGGAAGTAATTGGAATTGGATGAGGTAATCTGAATGGGGGCCCCTGATTTATTCCTAGTAACTGTAAGAGCAGTCACAGGGACATGCTTGCTCTGCTCTAGCTCAATCTCATCAGGTGATGCCCTGAGCTCCCTCAGAAAGCCCCCATTAACAAGGGGGTCCTCACCAGATGCAGCCCCTTGACCTGAACCTCTAAAGCACTGAGGTAGATAAATCTGTTTTTCATATATTAACCAGACTCAGATATTCAATTATTAAGCAACAAAGAATGGACTAAAACAGAACACAATTTAATTATTTGGACCAAAGCAACAGTTGTAAAATGTAATACTGTAAATAAATCTTTTTCAATCTGTTAATGTTGCCAAGAATTAAATGAAACTTAGAGGCAAAGGGACTAGCCAAAGTCCATGCAGATATTAAAAAAAAGAAAAGCAGGACTTAAAGCAGCATTTCAGGGCCAGCCAGTGGCATGGCGGTTAAGGTGTCTGGATCCCACATGGCCAATATGCAATTTGAGTCCCAGACAGGTAGCTTGAAAGACACACTGGTTGTATTTGCATGTGGGTCCATAAATACTGAGGAGAGAATGGAGAAGGGGGTAAGGCATGGCCATTCCCCCTGGGGGAGGGAGGGGCATGCCTTCTCTCTATCTTTCTTTGGCAAGCACATACACCCTATAGTAAAAACTAAAAAATAAAATTTTTATAAAAGCATGAGATGCCAACTCAAGTGTTTCTTTTCACTATAACAGTTCTCTCTTTGATTGTTTTGGTAACCAAGATTTTCTTAATAGAATGTGTGTTGGATATGAGATATTCTAATCAGGACATAGAGAAGGATTATAAATGAACTTGCTGTAAAGGTCAGTCTGGTAAAAGCACCTGCTGGTGCTGTTTTTTCTACAAGAACTTTCCCATATTCTCTGCTGATGCTGAGAATGCATACCACCAGCCTGTATCCAGGCCTATCTGTCTTTCCAGAACTGCAGTGGCTCAAGGCCTAAGGAGCATCTGCTTTCCTGACTTGTTTTGAAAAGCAAGATGAGTAGGTATGCAGAAGCAAGCTAGGTCCAAAACCCAGAAGTCAGTAGCCCAGATAAGGCTCTTTCATAACAGATGGTGTGATACAAGAGGCACAGAAATCAGGCCTGCCTTCTGATATTTAGTACCTTAGAATGTGTACAGGAGGCTCACTTTATTATTTGAATATATTTGAAAACATTCTGTGTACTGTAAGAAGCCAATGTAAACTATAATTATTACTGGAGTTTAGAAGAGAGAGCATACTTGGGACATAACAGCAGTTAGCATAATGGCTATGTCGCTGGACTCCCATGTAGTGCACCACAGTTCGAGGCCTGGACCCGGTGGCTTATACTCACGCTGGGCACGCGTGCGTGCATGCCCAAGATCCCCAGAGAATGGAGGAGAAGGAATTACGTGTGGCCATCCCCCCCCCGGGGGGGGTGATTTCTCACTTTCTATCTTTCTCTGTCTTTCTGATGAGCACACACACCCTACAGCAAAAATCTCTCAAAAAAAAAAAAAGAAGAAGAAGAAGAAGAAGAAGAAGAAGAAGAAGAAGAAGAAGAAGAAGAAGAAGAAGAAGAAGAAGGAGAAGAAGAGAGAGCATACCCAGGGATAAGTTGGTTAGGAGAAGTTCTCCAGAGGAGATAGGGTCATTCTTTTCAAGGTGGTGGGGGGATCATCTTCCCTCTACCCGTCCAAGGCTCAGCTCCATAATATTGCCCCCACTTCCCAACATGTGCCCAGTGGAAAGGCGAATCATTTCCTTGCTGAGATCTGGGACAGCCCTTGACTTCTAGTGGTAGCCACTCTCCTTTCAGCCAGAAGCCCAACACGCTACCATCTCTGGGTGCTATCACGTCCCTGAGCAGTGGGCACACTGCGGTCCTGATCACCGGCTCTCTGCACAGAGCATCCATTTGTCACGTGTAACCTGGAGAGCTACTGAGCCCGGAGGTGGGTACCGATGCCTCTCTATTTGGCCCACACTAACAGAGCTAGATGAACTTGGCCATGGCCCAGGCAGTAGGGGTGACACGTGGTATTGATTTTTAGCCACACTAGGCTCTTCTTCCGAGTTCAGATAAGTCTTCGATACTAGTCTGCCCTGAGCCCTAAGCAAACGCAGATCTCTCTGGGAAGTTCCCAGGGAGGCGGGGAGCTGCTGCTCCTGCCCCCTCCACCGTTTGCTGGCGCTGGCGCGGAGGCGGAGTGCTCTGGAGGAGGCAGTCGGCAGTCCAGTCGGAGGCCGGCCAGCAGTAGGGCTGCCCTCGCTGCAGTGACGTCCCAGTCCTACCGGGCGGAGGGGCGACGACCGACTCCGCGCCCACCCGGCCTGCTCCTGGTACCGGACCTGTCTGCCTTCTGGAGATGCTCGCTGAAGTTGAGCACGGCGCTGCGGGTCAGCTCTTTCCACTGCCATAGCGCCGGGTGTCAGAGGCACTCCCAAGTCCCGCCATGCAGCCAGGAGCTGCCCCGAAAACTGTGCTGCTGGCGGTGCTGCTGGCAGGACCACCCGGCGGGACCGGCCGCCTGCTGAGCGGTGAGTGCTGGGGCGGGGGCTGGTTCCTGGGCCGGCTGATGCACCCATTGTACCCCATCTGCTGCTGACCCTTCCAGGGCCGCTGGGCCCCTTCTCTAGCTCCATGTGGGGTGGGGACGAGGAAAGGCGCCCCTGTCACACTCCCAGACTTAGCTTTCAGAGTCCTTCCAGAGAGCAATCACCCGCCATCTGAGGCCAGCGCCGACTCCCGAAGAAGCCCAGTTACTGGCCCAGGGTTACCAGGGTGGTTCCAGGACATGTGCCCTGGCAAAATAGTGGGCATACCTGCCCCAGTGAGTGTCTCTTCGGACCGCTCCATTGGGCGGGACGCAGTAGTCTCCGGGATCCCCACGCAGGGCAGGCTCACCAACTAGCCCTCATCTACCGCCCACTCCAGAAAGCAGCCCCCAAGACGCAGAGTAGGGAGTCTGCACTGGAGGTATTGTGGGAGCCCTGAGGGTTACTGCCGGTCTCTACTGGGTGGTGGATGGCTGAGTCCAGCGCCTGGAATGAGAGCGCTTCAGGATGGGGAAAGAAGTCTGGTTAGCACAGGACGAGCCCCACCTGACTGCAAAAAATGACTCTGCTTCCTTCCTTCTTGTCGTGTCATTGCAGCCCCGGACTTGGACCTCAGAGGAGGTACAGTACTCCGGCTTCTTGCCACTTCCAGTTGTTGTGCATGGGGGCTGGGGGAGAGGACAAGGGGAGCAGGGAGAGAGCGAGAATGTCAGGGCCAGTGACAGCTTTGCAAGAGGTTCAGAGAATGGGATCCTCCTTCACTGGTGTCCTGACTCTCCAAGCTGATTTAAAGAATGTAAAGTTGGTTTCAGGATGAGGGTGGGGTGCATGGCAGCGAAAGGAGAGGGTAACTGATTTGAGTTGCTTGGGTTGGGGCTGCGAGGCTCTGACCTTGGCCCTGGGGGAGAGAAGGCCCTTGCCCTTCCTTTTCCTGTAAACTAGAAGAGAAAGACACTTCCTGAAGACAAGGGAACCAGATGGGCCCTCGGGCCTCCTTCCAGCTCGGGCTCTCTCTGGAACTTACCCACAGACTCGGGATGTGTCTGTGGCCAGGCGGGACCATGCCGGAAACAGTTAAGGTGTTTTGTTTTCCCATGACAATCCAGCATGGAAAAGAGGGGCTGCCCTTAAATTTCGCCTCCACCTTTTGTTATGCTGGTGGCTGGGGTTGAGAGTGTTGGGAGGGGGCACTCTTTTGCTTTTCCTCTGCTGCCAGACTGAAGCCCTCATTCAGGAGTCAGAAAGCTGGCTGGCCCTGCCTCCTACCCACAGGGCATCCCAGCCAGGTCTCTCTGCAACACCTCCTTGGTGATGCTTCCAAGCCCTTCTAATCTGCTGGTGAACCAGTCCAGTCATTTTCTCTATTTAGCAGTAATAACCAAAGAATGACAGGAAAAGGGAGAAGATCAAAAACAATTTGTTGCTCACTGAGAATTTCTTTATAAAAATGATGAGGGAAGAACAGAAAATAAGGATTCCTTGAGCTTTATAGTTCCCAGTTATGT